CACGTGTTGGTAGTTTGTGGAAGAAGTTAACTCCATATAATAGCTTGTGGAAGAAGCTAACTATGTGGTGCATACATAGATAACTTGCCTTGCAAGTTAAGACATGTAGCTAACAAAGTCAACACATGTTGGAGGTCCTATAGAATATCACCATGTAATTCTTACTTAGAGAATATATATGGAAGCAAGAATGAAACCTTCTTCACTCTTGTTAATGCTTTTCTAGTTCTTAGTCTTATTTCAAGACTTTCTAATCTTTTTGTTTTTAGCAATAGCCATTCTAGTTCAATAATATATCATCTTTGAGTGACTTCATAGTTCCTTTCAATAATAGAAAGTATTGAGGATTTTCTTTCTTCAAGATTCATATCCTTAACAGTTTGACAAGATTACTAACGTACTATTTTTCTCTTGTTTTAGAAGTGAGTAGATTATTACACTTCTATTATTACATTTTGAAGGTTGCAGACCATCCAACTTTAAATAAAAAATCTTACTTTTTAATACTCATCTTTTCCTTAAAAATAATAGATTATCCTTCTTTGTGGAAATTTTTATTAGAGATTGCAGATTATCCTCTTTTAATTTAACTTTTTGATTTTGTTTAAGTTATCTATAGAAGAAAAGATTATGGATACTATTCTTAGTAAAAGTAAGAATAGATTTGTAACTATTGTAGATCTTCATGAGCTTATCAACAATCTAAGAATAAAAATCTTACATATTTCTAACATGAATTATGGAGGTACTATGTCTACGCCTATGAAAAAAGTGCAGAGTTTATGGCAAGAAGTTGTGCAGTTGAAGGAAACAAGTAGATCAACCTCAAAACCAAATGCAGAGAGTTTTGGTTCTATAAGTATGATGGAGACAAGAATTAATATGCCTAAGAAATTTGATGGAACAAGATTAAAATTTCAAAGATTTTTGCAACAAGTCAAGCTCTATCTAAGATTACATCCTTTCCAATATCTTGATGGATTTACTCAAGTCAGATTCATAGGCGCACTTCTATCAAGAAGTGCTCTCTCTTAGTTTGCACCTTTATTGGAAAAAGATTCATGACTCATTTATGATTTGAATTCATTCCTATAACTGTTTATGGCCACATTTGGAGAAAGTATATAGACCACATTTGGAGAAAGTATATGGATCACATTCATTTAAAGATTTGCATATTATAAATGAAGTATTTCAACCAAACGTTAAGAGGATATGCTTAGGAATGGAATTATTGAAGGATGACAAAGAATGGAATCATTGCTTGAAAAAAGCCTGTGTAATGAAAATTGAGAAGCAATTAAAAATATTGTTTGCTATTAATTTCCTTTAATATTCACTTATATATATAAAAGAGCTATAAAATAAATTTATTTATTTTTATTTTTGGTATTGATGTAAATTAATAATTTGTTTAAAATTATAGAATTGAAATGCCAATAAAAAGACAAAAAATTGATTATATATTATTTATTCTTAATAAAATTCTTTAAAAATTAAGCAAAATATTGATAATTTTTTTATTAATATTATTATGGAAAAGGAATTTAAATAAAAATATCACAAACTGAATATTTACAGATCATATAGCATGGGATTGTAATAATCTAAAACAAATGATAGAAAAATATGTGCCAAAGTTGAATGATGATCAATAATTATATATTTGGATATCTTTGCTTTAATAGATAACAATCTTTGAAAGTTGTATTTTTTAAAAAGATAGTAAGAAGTGAGAAAATAACTATCTACAATACCTTAGCAATGTATTTTCAAAGTGATTGAGAAATTATTTTATGTATTGCTTCCTCTTGTATTAGACGACAACTTTTAAGTAGTAGATGGATTGTATTTTCTATGTTTAAAATTTTGCTCCATCTTAATATAAATTTTTTTCAAAAATATATTAAAAAAATCAATTTATATCATTTGGAATGAAATACCTAGAAACATCACCATTGTACTAGGATAATTGATAGAATTTTCTAAAACATAAACAACACTAAAAAGTTATTTGGCAGGATTACTATATTTTTGGATAGAGATTTTTGGCAAATTCTTTATATTGTTGAGAAATTCTCAAGATAAGAGATTTTTGATGCTTTTTTGCAACAATCAAATATTTGATCTAATATTTAAGTATATAAGTTAATCAAAAATATGTGTTTGAAAGGTATATTAGATAAAAATTAATTATTTATTTAACAGCTTTTGAAAGTATGCATTACATATGGTTGTTACTTTTGAGAGTTTTTTTTTCATGATATAATATTTTTATGTAATATATCTAATAATAGTTTTTATTTATAAATTAAAAATGGATCAATAATTAAAGATCAATTGAAAAGTAAGATAGTTCTTCTAAAACATATGAAAGTATCTCCAATATCAAATGATTTAATTCAAGCTTTTTATTTATGATTAAATGAAGATAGGACACTTAGAGATGGATATTTTACTGATAGGTACATTTTATCTATACAAAATTATAATAATGCTTATTTAAACAAGTATTATATTGTAATAACATAACGATATGGTAAAAAATAAAAACATGGATGTTGTTATAGAAGAGCATAGTAGGAAGATGTGGTAGAAAAATAAGAATAAATGATAGGAAGGTAATAAAAAGTTTAGTCTTAATATTGACTTTTAGAGAAGGAGCTTGTATTTTCTTTCTAAAGGCATAAATGTCTCAAATCAAAGTAATTGGTATATACATGTTTAGAAGGAATTTAAAAATAGATTCAAATTATCTCAAATTACCAAATATTGATATCCAAAGAAGATCAGTTGTCAATTTGGGTCTAAATCAAACCTTGAGGCATAAAACCATGTATTTGCAATGACTATAAGATTCTTTGGTAGATTAAAGAGTAAGATTTGAGAGCAAACTTGCAAAGGAATTTTTTACTATTGGTTTTATGTCAATTAAATTAATATTCAATTTTTAGAAGTTTTTCAAAGTTAGTAATATTCATGGTTGGATTAGATTTTGAAAAATAAAATTATATTTACAAAATTGAGGGTCTCTTAAGTTATGTGGTGTATATACGAATAAATTTTGGATAGTGTTTTGATATTTTAGTTGTTAGTATGTGTGCAAATTTTGAGATCAATCGAATGGTTAAATCAAGGTGTGTGAAGGTTTTTGTAGGTTGAGGCCTTAAAAATTGGAATTTGAAGGTCAATGAATATTTTTAAGATCTTTAAATTTTTTTTAATTGGATTGAAGTGATTTTTTTTGTATAGAGATTAGACTTAATATCCAATAGTTTAGGTGTATTTTGGAGGCAATTCAATAGTTCAAGAAGAAGATATTAATACTAAAAGTTTAACATTTATTTGAGAGTAGGAGGCTAACCAACATCCAAGCGGAATTTAGGTTTGATCTTTTATTTGATAAGTTTGATTTCTTCAAATTTTGTGTACTTGTTGCCAACTTAGTTGTTGAGAGGTGTATAAAATCTTAAGCAAGATCAATGGTATAATCGATAGATATTGAGGTTCTAAACTGCCATAGGATTGGATTAATTTGATTGGAGTTTGATTTATTGTTTAGAAATTGGTTAGGATTCATAATTTTTTTAGGATTTATTTAAGGTTTGACTTAGGATTTAAATAAGGACTATTAGAATTTTAATTATGATTAAATTAAGACTCAGTTGGAATTTATTTAAGATATATTTAGGATTTTATTCAAATACTTCTTTTGAGTTTCTTTAGGATTTCTTCATGCTTCTTTTGTAATTTTTTTGAAGTTTTTTTGGATTTGATTAAAACTTAATTAGCATTTTTAAGGTTTAATTGGAATTATTTAGAATTCTATTAATATTAGAATCTTATTATTACAATTTTTATTCTACCTTCAATAGCTAGGTACTTGGTGCATTCTCAAGCAAGGCTTCATATAATACAACAACGTACAATAGAAAGATTTCTCAGAATTTTATATGTTTATTTTAGTACAAATATAGTAATTATAGAAGATGGTACCAATAATGGTAATTATCATCCAATGAAGTATTTAAATAACTTAAGTCCATCTAGATTTCTACTATTTAGCTTGGAACTAAAGGTTGGATGTCTTTTTATGTTGCAAAACATTACTTTAGATCAAAGACTTTACAATAAATCATGCTTAATCATTATGCAACTGACTAATCATGTTATAGAGATAAGACTTTTATTTGGAGACTACAAGGGACAATTGTCTTTTCTTCCAAAAATCAAATTTTGCCTATCATTTGCAGAGATTTTGTTCAAATTGTGCAAAAGATAGTTTCCAATAAAGGTGGGGTTTGCAATGACCATTGATAAATCTCTACAATGACATTGTTATTATAGAATGAAGGTGTAAATCTTACAATTGCACTATTTGCATATAGACATTTATATATTGCCCTTTCACAATAATTTTTTTTGAATATAATCAAAAATTTATATTCTAAAAATAATAAATATAAAATTCTTTTACAAATATACTTCATTTGGGAGTTGTATTAACTTAATTATTTTATTTTTGTGAAAAATAAAAATTATATTTTCTATTTACAATGAATAAATATAAATACTTCCATTGTTATACATATACTTTTTGTCTTCTATTGTTCAACATTTCTTTAAGAATGGTCAATTTTTGACTTAACACCAAAATTTAAACTTTTACAGCTTCTCCTTCAGTAGGTTTTCAATAATATTCATTTGTATATGTTTATCTATCTATAGCCATATAGAGTAATTGTCAATTTTTGCATTTTAGACACAAGGACTGTCACGTCTAATTGGACTCATCTTCTGTAGACCTTTTCTCTCGGCAGCCTCAAGTTGGCCTCCGTTTCGCTAGCCCACGTGTAGTTTTCTCAAGTTCATTGCATGCATTGAACGACCTTCACGAAACACTATGAACAACAACCCACGTTGAAGAAACCAGCATTCGGGAGAATTCAACGCAAAGCGTGGCTCGTGCTTAGAAACACCGTCTCGAGAATGCAAACACAATCACTAAATACTTGTCAAAACCAAGTAAAACCTGTTAAGAGCACTGTCACGGCGAAGTATACACAAAAAAAAAAGTGTAGGAATTCACTTCTTATTTTACATCTCACATGCTCTCGAACTCTAAGTCTGCCTGCTACAAATGCTAGGATGAACTACATTGAACTATGCCGAGATCGATCTTATGAATACAGGATGACGGTTGCATTCTTGCATCAATTACAGGAACTCTCACTCTCTCCCGCATGTGAGGCTTACTTCTTCAACAGAAGGGGACCCACATTGTCACCTGTTTCCTTATTGTGCTTCACGTGGGCGCCGTTACAGAGAGGGAAGGTCTCGGATCTCCAGCATCTGTGTGAAACCAGAAACCGAAATTAGAGTAAGAGGATGAGAGATTGCTTGAAAAATGCGTATGCACCGAGCGGTGTAAATTGGAACAGAACTACCAGTTGTAATAACTGGACGATAGAGCATGTGTTCTAGATGGTTTCTACAATGAAAGCTGACTTCCGTTTATCAGTTGTTGAGAGCAAGAGAGACGCACACCAATGCAATCACGGTATCACCAGTCAGAAATCGATACACAGTGCGCACGTCAACAGATAATTATCCGAACTGGGTGCACACACGCTGATGTTTTTACCTGCAGTATGCCGTCAATGGCTTGGAGAGCTCGTTGGCTTGGACCGTGTCAACCACCTTGTCGGAGTCCTTGCGAATTGACGGGTTGATATGAGCAGCGGACGCAGTCGATGTCTCTGGGGCCTCTGCCCTCACTGCCAAGCTCACTCTCTGCGGCCTCCCTGCTCGCGAGGGTATCATAGATTCGGCTGGCAGCGCCACCCCACGGAGCAGAGTCGATGCGCTCGTCAATGTCGCCATGTCACCCAAATCTGAACAAATCACTGCTTGCAAACGGGAATGTCGACAACCTCAGCACACCCACCACGCTCCACAAATTGGCATAAGCTCCTGATTTTTAACAACGGAAACTGAGGAGTTGATGACTTTCAGTCACTAGACGGATTTAAAGAAGCTGTATGGACACGTACAGAGATATGCCAGCGCGCGCTTACCTGAAGATTTAAGCAGAGCGTGTGGCGAACACAGGAAAGAGGAAGAAGCGCAGGAAAGGAGGGATGCCCTTCTTCCGGAGTCTTCTGGCGATGCTTCTCGCGTCGATGATGGTTTGTGTGGCTGTGCTCGGCCCTCGATCAATCGTCTCTGTGGTGCTGCATTGCTCTGGTAGATCTTCCTCCTAGCTGAGCATTCATTCAAACTCTGGATGACCACAATAATTTGAGCTGAGTAAAATTGCGCCTAGGTTGATGAGCTTCCAATTCAAGGATGGAAATGAATGTGTAAATGTTGAGATGGAATCGGCTGCCTGACTCAAATACGGCAGTGATAAGATTCATGAGTAGTTGTCAGGTAGTATCAGTTCGTTTAAGCATGTATGTGCCTGTGTGAGTGATAAATATATGCCTGCATTTGTCAATGGTAGCCTCTGTCATGAACGTCAAGAGACCAGAGTATAAGAAAAGCAACTAGTTATCAGGAGACAAAAAGCTTGGCAGCATTACAAGTACATTTACTTGAAGGGTCTACTTGTCAGAAATCTCAATCCGGCATCAAAAGATTTACTTACTTAGAGCTTGAGGCTTTTCTGGAACATTATCTTCGATGTGCCAGTAATGGACTGCAGGCCGTTGCCGCATCCCTTAGCCCCAAGATCCAGTCAACTTTAATCAACATATTAGACTCAATTAGCCAGATAATATCCTGTAGTAGCAAATTTCAAACAAAACCTGCTGCTCTTACGGTTTCCATCAGTTCCATTCCATTGATACCAAAAGCCAAATACCCGACTTCATTCAGAGGCAGGTGGCATGCAGGTAGTGAGCAAAATAAATTAGTATCTGCCAAAACCACCTGATTAGATGACAGTCCGAAGAGGCACAAAGACCACGTTCTGAGGCTAACTGCTCAACACTGATTAGGAACGACTGACAACTTAAATAAATCAAGACCACAGATACAGCTCACACAAACCTGTAGAAGAACTGGGTCTACAACTCGACCTAAACCAGTTAGCAATGCTTGAGGTTGCATTTCTGCGCTCTCTGTATCGCAACTGCATCAAAGGACAAACAAAATAAGTTAGAGTATGTTGTAACAGAACATAAACTTATTTTTCTCGGTTACAAGGATTTCTTTCCCATTTTTCTAAAACTTCAATAAGGACCAGTTCTGCAAATCTAAAAAACAAAATTAGCAATGATGAAATGTACCTGCAAGTATGAGTTCTGGAAAGCTTAGCCTCTGCTCACAACAATCTACAAACGCCTCTGCTTATATCTTCCAGGAGAGGGCTCGCTAGCTATCATCCTTTCCCTTCCACAGCTCTCTGAAAATCACACGAATTCAAGTTAATTGACGCTTACCTAAGTGAATTTAGCTGTTAGAGTACCGCCGAATGACGAGATCTACAGTAGAACTGCTCTAAGAATTAGAGCTTAACGTTCACTCTTGATTCAATTCATCTACGTATTCAAATCAACAGAACCTTCACTTCAACTTGAATTTGAACTTCCATTTTAAAAGTTCAGTTATTTACTCAACCCGTTTATTGTTTAACAAGATGAAGCTGTTCTATCATCATCAACTATACTAGGAGTGTGCTAACAACCTCGCGAGCCAGTCCCATATCTTGAATAGTGAGCCGATACTCAACCGATCCTTGATCTCACTTGATGCTGGACTGCCTTCTGATGTCCCGAGCTTGTGAGCAATCGACTTTGGAACAGGAATAGCGCCGAAGGGAGCATAGATGGCGATTCGTTGCATATTTTCGTTGAAGGATAGCTGAAGAGTCAAATCATAAGCTGCAAAAATAGAATGAAATGAAATTCGCAAATACGAGTTGTCAACAGGGTTGTACTTAAGACTTATCCCGTCATTGAAGCATGAAACTTGATCACTAAGATGAGTTAAAGCGGGTTAAGGTTGATATCCAAGGGATCGATTCCATAGGGGGGGTCCAATCGGAGAACGTCCAAGAGCCTTCCATGTATACGAAAGGAACCCATGTACTTATTCACTCATGCACTTACATGGTAACTGAAATAACACCTTCGTTCCAAGTTCTGAGTAAGATAGCGTCATGAATTCATGATTTAAAACGTTGTAAGGCCCTGAATTGCCCCAAACTTGTTGCTTCAATGTCTAACAGTTAATGCACGACTCTACGAGATATCTTGCGAACTTCACAAATATCCCACACCCTGTCTTAGTCCAACAGAAATGCAGGCTAGAATGGACTGCAAGCCCGAAACAGTATACTCCTTTGTTCAAGATGAGACAAATGCAAGAAGAGGCAATTCACGTACTACCCAGCCAGCACAAGATTAACGACAACGATAAACAGGGAGGCATTCGACATCTCTCTCACACCTGTAGCAACAAAAGCTGAGAGAAGAACTGAGACAAAAACCACAAGTGCCTACTGCACACACTAGAGTGAGGGTAGCCATCATACTGAGTAAAACCGACGGAGAACAAAGTCCACATCGTAAAATGAACAGGCAAGACTCGTGGATATCGAGGTGTATCACGAAGGAAGAGCATCGAAAGTAGAGCAATACAGGGAAAAAACCGAACAATGCATAACCTTTTCGCAAACGTTGCATGCGTCGCCTGTTTAATACGCAAGCGAGAAAAAACATCATCGTGGTCATATTGTGCTGTTCTCGCTCTGATTACAAGCCTCGGATATGGTTCTGGTGCCGACGTGCCCTGATTCCAAAGGCATGAAAGTCTTTGGGAAAGTGTGAGGAGGGGGCGTCGCCATAGCAATGGATACCTTCCCAACGAGAGTTGGAAACCCTGAAACGCCAACTTCATGGCTATTTTATTACCGGCCTTACAAGAGAAGGATGCTTTGGACAATGAATTCATAGAATTGCATAATTGTGGTGCACTTTTTAGGTGTTAGTTAGAGAATGTGGTCTCGTTGAGATTGAGATTTTTGTTTTTATTTTATTTTTTAAGAGGAAACTGACCCACAGCCACATTGCAAAGTAGAGAAGCTCTGCGATGTACTTGCATAATTTTTTTGTGTTTTTGAAGAAAAAATCCAGTCTGTTCTTATTCTTAACCCGTCTTTTTTTATTAAAATACATTCTCGAATTTGAACTAATAAAAGAATCCAAAACAGCAAATACTTACTGAATGAGAATGTGACATTCGCTCATTCGCTCTATGTTCTCAGTAAACTTATTTGTGGATGCGGAAGCCAGACACAAATTATGACAATGACTTGTTACTGATTGCACAGAAGATGCCATCACTGAAGATCATTCATTATTCCAAGCAACTAGGTTTCTACCTAGTTTCAAATTCAGAAGCACAAGAAATGGAATCGAACTCATCAGCATAATCAGGATTGGAACATTGAAACTCAAATAAAATTGAGGTTAATCTTAATGTTATTTCCCAAAAGAGTTGACTAATTTTTCAGATATGGCTTACAACTTTTTGGCCACCTGAACTCTTCAATCAAATCTCATGAGCCTGATAAGCAGTGCAAATAACCAAATAGAAAAAAAACTAAAAAATCAACAGGTTGGCTACTTCCGCGAGTTTAGGTACTCAGATGTTCGAAGTTTTATGTCCTCGTTGCGTCTCTTATATTCATCAAATCGCTGGAAAAAGTACCCCAGGTAATCAAATTCGATATTGGAGTACCTTGCCTGCACAAAATTCATGTCTGGCAAGTTAGTAGAACAAAAAAACCTGGTTCTTGCACTTGACCCATGTATATCAGCAATTCTACAGGTGATTCAGGAGATTTTAGAGGGACTTCCAATGATAATATGTACGCGAATATCACATGTTAAGATACGAAAATTGAAAGTCTCATTTCAGACAGTCTACAATCAACTGAGGCTCTTGCAGAGTAGTAGTCACCTGAACAATTGCCCACGTGGCCCAATATAAGTGTGATGCCAAGGAATAGAAGCTGCATTCTGCATAAAGCTCTTCTAGCTCTGCCTTCGTACTCTGCATCTCATTTGGGACATTTTAAGAAGTTTCCAGAGTTACTGGCGCCTCCAACTTTTAAAGGTAACAGTGGAACTTCTTTCATATTCCTTAAAAGAATCCTGATTACGTATAGACTGCTTAACCACGAAGTGTGTTACTGTAAAGTTGGAAGTACCAGCAAACCTAGTCACTGGGCAAGATTGACTTTCAACATAAGAACGATTACCCTAGTACGCAGAAAGTCTTCATACATTACTTCTCAGCTATTACAGAATTGCACCAACTTTTAATTGAGACCCACCATTTCAGGTTGTTCGGGATGCAAGTAATGTCTGTAAAAGTAAAATTGCTTCTCCTTATCTGGATACCTGAGAGGACGGAAAAAAAGTTTGAGAACATAATATTAGGATCACAAAGCAGGTCAGCATCCTTCAATGCAGTTTAGTTCATATCAACACCAAGAGAAATCCATCAACGTATACAGTGAAATCTAACCAAGCTATCATGTCCTTGCTAATTAAGTGAAGAAAACGTAAAGTTTCCGCAGCTCATAATGAACCAAATTGAATAGGAGAGAGGGAGGCAACCAATGGAGAAAGCGTACAAGCTATAATCGCAGTCGAAGCCTGCATGCTCGTTGAGGTAATTGGCAATGTCATAGCCTCGATAATTGTGTGACCCGTATTCATAATCAATAATGTACAATTGTCCTGCAGTAAAAGTAGTGTTGTTTTCTTGAGTTTAAATATATTGATATATTGCATCATACAATGATTTCTGAAATTCCCGTCTTTCACAATGGTAAGCCAGCTGTACAGCAATTATAATTAAATAAATGACATGTTTAAGTCAAATGAAACATATAATAGCTAAAAGATTTGAAGAAACACTACGTCAACTATGCCATCTAAGAAAATAGAAAAATGAGAAACTTCATGCTCATCGGAGGAACTGCACACTTCATTACCTTTCTCTTCATTATACATAAAATTTCCAGAAAGAAGATCGTTATGTGCAAAAACTACAGGTGCTTTAAAACTGTCACTGATTGCCTGCACGATACATCTCATGAGAATGATATGAGAGGCACTTCAATAGGATAGGCGTTCAACTGAATGGAAGAATTCTGCAATTTTAAACCCCTTCATATCTCATGAGTAAAAGAGGACAAGTAGACTAAACTCCATGAATCACTTGCATTACATTTGTCGAAACGATTAAGCAAAAAACAATTTAGCACCATGAGCAGGTGTGCTTCGGATTCGTTACCTTTATCTCTTCAACTTCCTCCCTGATGTTCTCAAATGAAATCGTTTCATAAGTCTTCTGCTTTTCACTGTCTTCAAATACGACTGTTGAACCTTCATGTCACACGAGAACAGAGAATAAAAGTGGTATGGTTAGTGCCAAGTTATTCCCTCCTCGACGGAACAAGTGATGCTCCAACACCGCATCCCTACCCAATTATAAAATAAAACAGTGTCTATTATCTGATGTTTAGCGGCGCGATTGTATGATAAGGGTTTGAAAGCAGATCACCGAAGACACAACTTACATGACTGGGAGCCAACTGAAAATCAGTTAGCCTTCCTGTACTACATCAACCAGAGGCAAATATCGAGAGCAAACAATACCCTTTTCAATAAACTTATAAATGTCATTCCACAGTTGTGGTTCCTTAGAGCCAGGAATCTCTAACTCATGCAGTCTTCGAACTTCCACAGCTATCAGCTTAGCAAACTCTGGTTTAGCGATGTCTGCCAACAAATGCAGGCCAAACTTAACGAAGTTAAATGCATGTCTTTTGATACATTTCTGGAAAAAAAACCAAGAACAACCAAGCCAAAAACAAAACAAAACAAACAAACAAACAAACAAACAAAACCATTCACCAATACGCGCACCTCTCGTGACACAGAAGAATACACGGGTTTGAAACTGCAAAGTTGAGTGAAATAAATACCATGAGGTTCGAGTGTTCTTCCAACAAGATAGGATTGAATCATGCCGTTTCCAAATACACCTAGCAACTTAGCTCCAAACCCGGCTGAAGATAAGAACGCGATTGCCTACATGCCCAGATTGATTGGCATAATGTTAGAACTTTAAAAAAGACAATTGAACAGGATGACTCTGAGAAGTACAATTAAGTTGTCAATACTCAAGTTCACAAACACCTGGAGTTCTCGACCCCGATCAATAACAGCATCCGTATTAGGCCCAAACACGCGCACAGTTAATGGTTGGAGTTGGTCATCGTTTTCACCTTCCACTTCAGCCTTAAGCACTGCTCACACAACCAACACAACCACAATACTTCAGTCTAGCTTTCAAACGTGGCATACAATGTATTCCAGAGGCAAACTGCAAACACTGCAAACAATGAAAGATTGCAAGCTTCCACATAGATGAATTTATTACTTAGCATAGTAAGCTTCAATAACAAAAAAGAACCCCTGTTTCTATGAAGATTGACCGAAATGTATTGATTCCAGCCTGATTGGCTTTGAGGTTGACATTGGAACTGAAAGTATCAAGGTTTACAAGAGAGTGAAGGGAATGAAGTGGGGACATGCGAAATGGTGATGGTCAGGGACCAACGTACACATGTTAGTGATTCCGCCCGTGATTTTCGTCACCAGTATTTTGGAGTCGTCCACATCTGCCCACCTCCTCAAAAGCGTCTTGCAAACTCCACTGAAAATAGCTCAAGACATAAATACATGTGGAATCACTTCAAATTTATTTACAAAAAAAAAAAAAAAAAAAAAAAAAAAAAACAACAATTGCAGATCCCTACTGTGACTTGAACACTGAAGGACTCCACCAGCCTATCCTGGGAGATTCACAGAATTGTTTGGAAATTTGATGGCGCATGGTCAGTGATAGCGAAAGATCAAAGAGGATTTACATCTCACATGGCTCGAGAGAACAAAGCAGAATCCGGGAGGCGCGTATCCACGATCAAACTGCATGTGCGCACCGCCATGGAGCTGTCCGACCTCTCGGCAAAGATTTTGATAGTCCTCATGGTTTCGATCTCTTCGTCTCCTGCAATCCGGTCCTCTTGCCTGAATCTGTACCTCTCTCTTGCTTCTGAATGTCCTTCTTGTCCACCCTCTCCTTTTCCACATGAGAGATGGCCAGCGCCCAGGTCTGTTGCTCAACCGTGTTCATCACAAGTGGACTGCATACAATATCAACACCTCATTAGAACACAGCCCTCGACGCCAAACTTGTGATGGCGTCTTGATCGCCTTCACCTTTACCACTTTCCTCAACCTCACGAACTCCATGCTGAGAGAAAAACAACAAAACAAAGTTACCGTAAACAGCTTTACACCTCAAACAATCACAGAGCTGCAGCAAACATCCTCCACCTTCCCAATTACTACGCGTCGTAGATAAGGATCATCTTCATCCCCAGCAACCTTAGCGGCAACGAATTACTCCCCCCCACGTTCACCCACGACTAACACCTGATAAAGTCTGATGGAGGAAACCTGGCCTTCTTGCCTGAATATTCATTTCCAGACATTCTCCAGCCAAATTCGACTGGAAAAGTTTCCGTTTTGCAGACAAATTCCCGAGATAAACCAAGAGAACTCAACAAACCTTCGCACTCTGGGTTTGCTTGAATGCCTGCGCAAGCATGCGGATCGCAAGTCCCTTGTCAACAGTGCTCAGGCTACAAAAGTGCCTTGCAAGAGCGCATGACACGACTAAGCATTCCTTGGACCCACAATCTGCATGCATGGCAACGCACACAACAAGTGTCAACCTCTCCACACCAATGATAAGTAAGCTTAGATAGATATTAGAGACAAAGAAAACTTTCTCATTCACCAAAATCAAAGAAATTTGGAAGAAGCAAAAAACCATGTATTACTTGCAGAAAGACATTATAGATATGCACCTAGAAGTGTAATGGCATAAAAACAAAATTTTGAAGATTCATCAATACATTATAGATACGCACCTAGAAGTGTAATGGCATAAAAACAAAATTTTGAAGATTCATCAATAGAGTAAAATTAGTGATTGAATTTCAACCCCAAAGCTATTTAATTCTAAGATCACAAGTCAAGTTTATTAAAACAATACTTTCAAATTTTGTATTATCATGGTTTTTATCTTATATTGAATGACAAAATCCAATATTGAACAATTTGGAGGTTTTCTTGGCAGAGTTTTGATCTATGTATGGAGAATATAATACAATTTGTGTTACAACAAACAAAATCTGTATTTTGCAATAAAGTAATCAATTAATAACATTATATGCTTTATATTTTTTACAACTTGCAACTAATATTAAGTAGGATGATGATGCATTCATTAGCCAATTTTTCTACAAATTACAATATAAGGTAAAGAAATTGATGGTCAACTTACTTAATCCTCAAACATTGAGTTAAGTAATTGACTTTGCTATTGAATGTGATAATTGATTTTTTGAATTTTGATTTGAAAGTAGTATAAATGAGCCTCAACATTTTTACAATTCAATAGCAACATCAACATCTTCTCAACACATATATTTAGAAATAGAAGATATGTAAATTAACATAGTTTATTTCAAACTTCTTATTAAAAAAAGAAAAGATTTGTCATTAATAAAAAAGATTGTGCATATATTGTAGAAAATCTATGAGCATTGTTCAACATTGTCCAAAGAAGAAATGCAACCACAAAATGAGGAGTATGGCTATCAAAAATGATAATAAGTCAAAAAATGAGTTTATTCAACTATAGTAGGGACCGTGTAACTAAAATCTTGTACAATACATTATAAAGGTCTTATTTCCTCCTCAAAACCTTCTCTTTATTTCACAATAGATGTTAGTTTAGGACCTAAACATTACAAAGCCCCTACTTTATTAAATTCATAAACCTCAACTTGTTTTTTAAATGAAGAATTTGTTAAAAAAACATAATATGCTTTTAATAAAGAAAACTAAATATGTTCATATAGAAGTTATAGATGGTTATATATAATAAATATGAATTACTAATTGGACCAATCTATAATATATTATAAAATGAGGTGGCAAAATTCAAAGAATACATTGATGAAAAGTTTGCCAAGAATTTCACATGCCATTCAAAAATTCTAATATGAGCTTCTATTTTATTTGTGAAGAAAAAAGATAAATCATTATAGATGTATGTAGATTATTTAGGATTCAACAAGATTACTATTAAAAATAGACATCCTCTATTTTTGATATCAAGGCTTTTTGATCAATTGAATGAAGCTAAGAACTATATTAAAATAAATCTACAAAGAGCATACAATCTAGTATTCTTCAAAAAAAGAGTTAAATGGAGGACAACATTTTGAACTAAGTATGGACATTTTGAATATATTGTCATGTCTTTTGGACTCATAAATGCCCCACTTACTTTTTAACATCTTAAAAATAATATCTTTTGAGAATTTTTAGATGATTTTGTTATATATATATATATATATATATATATATATATATAATATACTATTCAAATTAATTTCTTAAGATATATCAATTCAAATAATGGCATTATGATGGATCTTAAGAAAATTCAAAGTATCATAGATTAGAAGGTTCTAAAAATAGTAAAAAATATCTTATATATTTTAAATTTTTTCAATTTTTATTAGATCTTCATCAAGAATATTTTTCAAGTTACAGTTCTACTTATACATTTGATATGTAAAGACAAACTTGAATAGAGCAAAGAATTCAGTGTATTTTTTAAAGCCTTAAAGACAATATTTATTTCTTCACTAATTTTGTATTGTATTGACTTTTCCAAAGCATTCTATATGAAAACAAATGCATTAGATTTTTTCTTGAGTGTTGAATATTCACAAATAGGAATAGATAATAAATTCCACTTAAGAGCTTATCAATCTAAGAAATTTTTAGTAATCAAGATCAACTACAAAATCTATAATAAAGACCTTCTAGTAATTGTAGATTTATTTCAAGAATTACATCATTTCATAATAGGCACTTTCAATCCAATCACCATATATACAAACAACAAAAATCTTGAGTATTTTATTGTTATAGATATTCAAAAAGAAGATTTTATAAATATTCTTAAAATATTTTGTTAAATTTCAAAAGATTATATGAGATTCTTAAAATATTTTAAAAATAATTTAGAAGATTTTTAATAGTTTTTAAAATATTCTAGTAGATTTTAAAAGATTTTAGGAGGATTAAAGAAATTGTTTAAATAGCTTCTTAAGGTTGCTTCATCTTAAAGCAATATAGAAACTTCTCAAAAAGCTTCCTAATACTTAATATATATTAGAGCCAAAGTTGAGGAGATCCTCAATTTCGACAACACATCTCTTAGAGTTTTAGTTCATCTTTCTTGGTATTGATATTATACTCATCTAGTTTAATTAAATTTTTGTTATCTTTCTTATTAAAATTCTTTTATTCAACTTCTTATTTAATTTCTTATATAGTGTATCTGTAACATTTTGTTGAAACTGCCTTCCTAGCAATAATAGACCTTGATCTTTTTTGATAGAAAGTAGATTATTCTTCTTCTTCAAGGCATCTAAGCGCATTAGAGGTTTTGGAGTACCCTACTCTAAACTAGTATTATTTAGATTTCTTTTTTTCTTTTTTTCTTTTTTTCAAGATAGTTGGAAGTGAAGATGTTAGAATAGTTGAATCTCTTCAATCAAAGTTAGATGTTATTATAAATACATTGAATGCTTTAGCTTGTAGAATTGCTGAAATTGATAATTCTTTTGCAAAATTTTATGGTGATGTTAGACTTGGAGCAAGTCACCTTATGATGCAACGACTTTCTTAAGCTTTTACATCTAAGGAGGCAATGGCAGCTATACTTCAATAAGAAAATTTATCTATTTGACAATGTAAGGAGCCTTGGACTAATCTTTGAAAAATATTTGAAGATCCATGCTTGAAGCTTCAAGAATTTGTTATCCAAATTTGATTTGTAAATTTTTTATAACTTGAGCACTATCTAATAGAAGAATTACAAGTTGATTTAGTTAGAAATTTACTTATAAGACAAGCCTTATCTTAGTTTGCTCCTTTATTTGAAAAGAGATCTCTAATCTTTAACAATTTTGAAGCTTTTTTAAAAGTATTTGCAAAGGCATTTAAAAAACATAATAAGACTCAATAGTTGACAACAAAGATTTTTTCATAATGTCAAAGATTACATTCTATATCAATTTATGAATTTGAATTTAGGCAATTGGCTTGTGACATCAATTGAAATGAACAAGCTTTCATGAATCAATTCTATTGGTGATTAAAAAATAATGTGAAAGTCCTATTATTATTACTTAATATTTAAACATTCAATGAAGATATCAGCCAAGCTATGAAATGTATTAATTGATTATTTTAATATTATTAAGATTAACGCTTATGGACTTTGACAAAGCAACATATTAGAAATTCATACTCTGCTGCTTCAACAAATACATTACTTCTATACTTCAAAGTTGAGGATATGCAAATTGATACAATACAATTCAAATTTCTTATAGTAGAAGAAAAGAAGCATCAATTTGAAGAAGACTTATACTTATATAATTGTGAAGAGGGCCACAAATTTGAAAACTATCCAAAAAAAACAACATAGAATAACAACTAGGAGTGTTATCATTCAAGAAAATAAAGACGCTTATTTACAATAGGAATTATATGGCTAGACATTCCAACACCTCAAATTTATTAAGGTCCTTTTTTTTTTATCCAACCTTCTTGTTATTTTATAATATCTTTATTTCTTTTATTTATTTTATAATATCTTTATAAAGACTTCAAATAAATGCTTTATTAAATTCAAGAGCATTTTTTAGTTTTTTTTATGAAGAATTTTTTAAACTTCATAAAATTCATTTGATATAAAAGTCAAAATCTATAAATGTAGAAGTAATAGATTGTTGACTTTTATCTTTAGGTAATATTACTTATGAGACTATACTACTAGAAGTATCATTTTAGAATGATAGTAAAAAAATAATATTCAACATTATTAGAACTTCATCTAATTTTATTATTCTAAGACTTTTATGGTTAAAAAGATATAATCTATCTATAGATTAGAGATTTTGTACGATTGGATTTCCTATTGAATGCCTTTGGATAAAGCCTATCAAAAAATCATCAACAGCTAAGTCCTTACTTTTAAGAGTAAGGGCTTTTATGAAGATGGCTACAAAGAAAATGACATTTGTTATTTATGAAATTCTAGCTCATAAAGAATCAAATTATTAGTAGCTATCTTAGAGCAATATAAGGAGTTTCACGTTGTTTTTGAAAAAAAGAATGCTGATAAATTGCTAGAATATCGACAATACGATTGTGCTATTAATCTTCAAAAAAGGGATCAACTATTATTTTGAAAATCCATGATCTATCACAAAACAAGCTTTTTGTATTGAAGGATTATATTGATAAAAATCTTGTAAAAAACTTTATTTGATATCTATTTTTGGTAAAAAAAAAGATAGATCTTTACAAATGTATATTCATAATTGCCACCTCAACAAAATAAAGGTGAAGAATCATTATCCATTATCTTTGATATCAAGCCTTTTGGAGAAACTTGGTATCATATTA